CTTTTGAAATAAACAGCGATAAATTTGGTAGAGCAGTATAAACTCCATTCTATAATCACACTTAATGAAACACTTTAATTATATGTTACTACAGACGGCTATAGTTACTGTATATAAATTTTTTATTATTTATAAGCTTATAATCTGCTTTATTTGTAAGATAGCCGAATTAGGCACATTTTTTCTTGCAAAACATAAGTGTTTGGTATATTTTGAAAGGTACGTGTCGTATAAAAATGGTGCAGTGAATTTGCAAATACTAACCGCGCCAGTGAACTTACATCTGTCAACTTCATTCTTAATACTTCCTTAAAGTAAGTTGGAGTATAAGACTGCATTAATATAAAAATAAAATGTGATACACATTGTGCAATAAATATTGCCCAAACTGGTCCGGATGTAAGAATTGCACTCCATGGTATTTTTAACTTCTGAAAAGAGAAAGAGATCAGATACTTACGATAATTTTTTTCTACTGAGTTGAAGATTAAGTTGAAAAAAAGAAAAAAAATATAGATATAAACTACCTGTTTTTCTTCTCGAATTTTTGGGATTTTGGTTTCTAAATACAATCGTTCTCTTTTGATCATACATTTACTCTGTGCCGGTGTATCTGTTACTGTTAAACACCAAATTATCGACCACACTATACCAGCGATTGCTAAAAGTTAAAAAAAAATATGCTGTTTTTTTTTCTTGTAAACAGGTTTTTAATGGTTATCTAACAGTGTAAATAATGAATTAGTACAGGTGCTCATTCAGTCAACAAGAGTGATAGAAAAATGCGACAAAATGTGCAGGACTATCAAAACGCATTCATCTCCAAATCAGTAGACTATAAATCTGCTTTAAAGATTAGAAACTGCAGAAAAGAATTCGCAGCAATACTTTTTTCTCTACAATACTACTTTGGAATTTGGTGTAGAAGGAATAAATAAGTTTTACTAACAAAGAATCTGTGCTCAGACACAGCGACATGTCAGCCAACCCAAAAAAGCTCTAGAGCAAGCAGTTTTTTTCACTGATTATTCATTTATCGCTTTTAAACTATATTAGAAAACAGAAAAAGAATTTTCGCTGCACATTACGTTTGCAAAATAAATCAACAGCCATGTGTGACAATCTGATAAAGAAATACAAAAAAAAAATTCAATTTTACAGAAAATATTAGACCAATAATGGCATAAAAGAAAACTACCGAATTATTACATTTATATTCTCAAGTGTTTAAAAAAGATTGTGCTAGTTAACAGTTTGAAGTTGGGTTATTTTGAATAAACAGCTGTTTATAAAAAAAATCCAAATTTTTTTTTTGTAAACTTTCAAGATCCTACTTAAAGATCCCAACTCACAACTGCAACATTGAATACTTCAAGTAATAAACAGAAAACAGTTGGTGCACTTGAGAGATTTTTATAAGCACTTTATCCAAACGAACAGTGTTCATAAATTTTTTCCAAAAAGGCTGTGTTAATTCGAGACGTTTCTATTAACGCTTAATAAAAAAGAAGCATTTATCTTGTACATTCGCTGAATACAACAAGCTCCTTCTGGCAAAAT